ATGTTCAAGTTTAACACTGCATGGCAAGCTGCCCAATATTGAATAACTAAAAAATATCAAGAGCCCATAAGGCATCCAAAAACTCTCTGACTTCGTTTTGATGTTATTTCATACTTCAAGTGTCCTTCTTATCATCATTTGACACTTATTGTATTCCCTGTAATTCTTAACACTCAATTTCATGCATGTAAAGAAAATGTGTACAGATATTCATTAGCCACACATTAGCCACACTTTTTAATGCAGTAGTAACAACATACACAGCCTAAGATAGTAATAATCACAACACCCACGGCGACGCCCACGGCCACGATAATCCCTCCTGGTGTGCTCCAAAAAGAAGTCGCCGAGCCACCTGAAATTAGGATTAGAAAAAAATCGGTTACAATTGTTATCGGCCATTAGCAGAATAAAAACGCAGGATTGACAAGGAAGTCAATGTAGCCACCAGGGCAATCCCTCCTGGTGTGCTTAAAAATGGGGTCACCGAATCATCTAAAATTAGATATAGAAAATACGAATTTAGGCCGGACGAAGCGCCCGAATTTGAATTAAAATATTTTAGCCCACAACAAGGGTACGTACGAGCACGTGCAGCAGTGACAGACCACGTCATGAGAAATAACTGTACGTGTAATAGACTGGGGCGGGGCTAGAGTAATAGACAGGACAATAGATGTACACGTTGGATTAAGGATGCTGTATGGATCAGGAAATCTACTCCTGTCATGAACCGGGATAAGGGTGGATACAGACTCAGACAGTATATAGTATATATTATATATAGTATAATGCAAAGTGAGGCAGACTCGGTCCCTGTCCCTACCGTTAGTATTTGAGGGTCCATCACAATAGTTATGACAGTGCCGGGTGTCCTCCTCATGACTTGGGTTGCAGCAGAACTCCCGGTACCTGGAGCGGGTCTGCTGGCCTGTTTACAAACGGATCAAAATAATGTGTGATGGTCAATGATAATGAAGGTGCACGAGTTCTAGTGACACGGGCATAAAAACAAACCTACAGTGGGTGTCACTGGTAGACAGACGAAAAATTAGATTCTCACCCTCCCCACAAGCCGGTGAACAGTCACTCCATGGGTGCCAGTCCCCCCACTCACACAGGCAGCATGACTGGGTGTTACAGGACATGGTCTCGCTGTCAGAGCTGGGAGAACAGCAGGAGTCACGAGTCCTTGTTCTAGTCTTTGTCCCTAAGATAAATTAGGAACACAATTTAGTAGCATCATCTCGTTCAAGTAAATGTACAAATACCTACCTTCGATTTTTCGACATTCGCCCTGTATTCCCAGATAAAATTTTAGTTTATGTTTATTGCAAATTCGTGCCCGGAGGCTAATTGCAAATTACAAATCATTAAAGAACATAGAAAGAAAGTATAAAATAACTAAAGTCTACATGATGAAGGTAGCTGTCTAGAACTATAACCATGTCTAAAACTATGTCTGAAGGGTTTGACTTCTCTTCTGTAAACCATAGAAGACGTAACACGCTTTTAATCTTTCTAGGGGACATAATACCAGGTCCTGGCTGAAGAACAAGAATGCTCTTTAATACTGTCAACCTACCTCCTCCACATGTACGCGAACAGCTGCTCCAGGAGCCCCAAGGATGCCAGGTGCGGCAGCTGCAGCAGCTGTGGGTGTTACAGGTGCTCGACTGGGTCTGTTGGCTTGGAGAGCAGCAAGGGTCTCGGGACCTCGTTCTGTACTGAGTTTCTGTTTTGAAGAAAGAAGCGTCTGAGTCCTGAGCATTTTAATCCAGTTAGAATTACGGTTGCAGTCGTGGCGGCAGTTGGAAAATGGCGGGAAAATTGTTTGCTAGTGAGGAGAGGGTCATTCACCAACAACAATAGAAAACAGACGTTACGAAGACGACGAAATAGTGTAAATATGCACCAACCTGGCACCCCAAGGCGATCATACATGTTGCCATGTGCCACGTACGGTTTCTCCCAAGCAGAGCAAACATATCTTTTGAGGAAGCAATCGCGCATGTTGTTGTACTGGAACGACAAGCATTCCGGCTCTCTGCAGCAACGGTCCGCACAGTATGACAATGTGACGCCTGGATAGTAGGATTCGAACGAGGTTCCGAGTTTTTCACAATCGGTTCGGGGATAGTGTCGAAAGGACCTTGTTCCACACGTTTCTGGAAATGTTGAACAGAAATTACAGTAAACTTAAAACTTTTAAGGTAACATTTGCAAAGAAAATGCATAATGTTTACCTTCGCATATGGTCTTCTCTGTTAATTCTTACTCAAACACATTCATATATGTGGTGACAGGAGTCTAAATTCCCCATACTATAAATTTCAACATGATGTAACCCAAAACTAGTTACCATGGTGACAGACGTCTGGTTCAGGTCATTGACCTTATTTGTTTGGAGAAGAACAGGAAGAAGAAGAGGAAGAAGAAACAGAGAAAAAAAACTGCGAAGGTAATGAAAACATAACAACATACAGCTGATTTACAGTGGTGTATGGGCGCCGTTAGATTTTTTCTAATTCTGTATCACAAGTATAGTGTGTTTTGTTTGACGTTTATGTGTGAGTTTATATAGAGCCACGTAGAAGACAAGAGATTGCCGTTTTGATGTCATTTTGCAGTTTTCTAGGCTTCCAAGGGAATACGAAAGGGGTCATTTGTAGCCACCTGAACAAATGGAACTACTTCTCAAAGCGTAGTGTTCTCTAAAGAAAAGCCATATAATTTCTCTCACCACATTGTACTGAGCAGCCACTCCATGAGCCCCACGAGCTCCAGGGACAGTAGCAGCCCTCCCCTTCCCGGAGAAGTAGCGCTAACTGCACCACAAAGACAACTGCTCGGAGATGGACATTTCCTGTAGCCATGCCTAAATTACGCATGTATAAACATGTTAAGATTTGTTTCTATAATGTGCTAACTGTTCGTAAAGAACAGCCTGGGTTGTAACATTACACTCCTGGCTAATCATTGATTTATAGCAACTGCAAGGTTCTATGTACATGTAGAAGTCCTGATGGTGGGAAGAAAGAAAATGCCAGTGGTGTACTCTTTATGACTGGATAAAATTGTAGCCTGGCCACCATCCTATTTGTATATCGGTGTGACACCGTACAAAAAGAATGGCGTCCAGGCTACGAAGAGAGGGCACGCATGATGCCTTGATTTTATCCACAAATAAACACATAACTTTCACGAACACAGCTTGTAAATGAAAGAAGGAATGCGACCTAAAAGACATAGAAGTTTTATGCAGTTGGCGAGAGTAATAGTATCATCAGGGGTGCATTACTATTTACCGGCCCCGTAAAGAATGTAAACATTAAAACATCAGCTTGTTTACCTACCTTTTGCGTTTCTCTAGTCAGCCAAGGAAATTGACATTTTATCAGACCAGTTTTATATCAAAGGTGTGAATTTGAATACACCTTACCTCCAAACAGACCCTTCGTTTACTGAGTTGAGGACGACTTTGTTGCTGTGATGTCGCGGTGGCGAGACTTTCTTACCGAGAATTGTTTACCCACTGCTACGCGTGGGTCTGTTCGCGTTTAGGGGGCCAATCAAAGCTTTTAAAGTAATGACTTTAATGTTATTTTCACCAACAAAACACATCATAAATTGCAAATTGTATTGACACAGACTATGGAGTCAAGTTTGGGCTTGCCTTAATTTAAGGAGTTTGTAGAGAAAAGGGAGCACAGTGTGTTTTCAACCATCTTATGAATACTGTTGCCAAAGTTTAATATAACAGTCAACCGGTCCCAAATGTATAAATGTTGAAACTCTCAACAAAGTACAACAAATACAACCTGTTGGCCTTGAGTCAACAAGCACGTACAAACATAGTCCGGTGACGGAAGGGTCAGAATGGAATGTTTGCTGAACGGTAGCGATAATTATCAACTGAGCTTTGTCTCCTGCGGCCAGTGTTGAAAACATTTATCCAGCTCTGTCGCTTATCAGGCTCCAGGCGTTAACACATGCTGACCTAGAAATTATATTCTTCATTCCTGGTTGCAGACAAACCTTGCTTTTTGTCCCTGTGATTTATATTTTTGATGGAGTCAGAGACTGGCCATTTGTCATTCGAGAACTTGTCATCGTGAATGCTTTACACTTGTCATTAAATCTGCAGAAGCTGGTGTATGTTTTATACTTGCCTATCAATGTTATAAGAGTTATAAGAGTACGAGTGGAAGATAACCAGTTATACCGTGCGCTTTGGTACTGTTAAAAGGCGTACATTGGAGTAGAGGAAGCAGAATCAACGTACCTCTGAAGGTGGCAATATATGATCCCGTTAGATTAGTTAATGCTTATGCAACCATATTGTCAACTACAGAAACAACGGAACCACATGATCAAAGGTAAATATACTGTTGTAGGTATAACTTCCCTCCAAACAGACCCTTCGTTTACCGAGTTGATTACGACTTTGTTGTTGTGATGGCGCGGTGCCTTTGAAGGTGACACGCACATACACCCCCCCCCCCACAATTACACTTCAGATCAGAAAGCCGTTCTTTATTGTACACAGGATAGCAAACCTTAGCAGACACGTCAGGACATAGCATTTCACAGACACATAGTCCACTATCTACTGTATCATTGTCCATTGAAGTCAAGTTTCTCTTGAATTGTGTAGTTCATATAGCACATTTGTTTGTTCTCTTTCTTGTTTTCTCGGCATTTTTTCCACATCGATCGAGAAGTCAGAAACACTGGCATTGTCATTAGCATGATTGTGAATATTGCGTTAGAAACAATAATATCTGTAGTGAACCTAAGCCTAACAGGAGATCCAGCAAAACACGTAGAAAAATATTCAAAAGAACATAATGCGAACATCTCAAATACTGTAGTACAATTCATTCATGATTCCGGAAGTTCAAGCATTTTTTTTCGCAACTTCAGAATTTTGTTAGTTTCATGAATCTTATTGATTCTTTCTGATGTTGTAAACAGTTTCAGAAAATTACTGCACAAAAGCTAAGAAAAAAGTTGACATCATTTTGCTAAAAGAGGTTCCATGAGTCTCAGATTGAGTTCGTTCCCGTTGTCGTTAATGTCATTGTCATCGAAAGAGGCGTCCGAGTCGTCCTCTAGTTCGAACTCTTCTTCCGCCGCCATGTTGTTGTTCTTTGACACGACCTCCTCTATGGCCACCTGATTGGCGTTTTTGCTGTCGAAGGCGGAGTTAGACATGCCCGTGTGATACTCGTTGCCTTGAAAATCCTCAGCGTCAGAAGCGCCCTCTCCCGAGAATAATCGGTACCGCTTCTTGCGGCGAAGCTTCATGCAACTCAATGTCCTCCCGAGACCGGTTTGGAATCTTCCGTCCGCTTCTAGATCCGAGTCTTCGGACAGGTCTCCGCCGGTGAAGGCGCAGCGAAGGTGTAAGATCGCGGGACGTTTGTTCTTAAAGAGATCCTCGTACATTCCTCTACCGACTGGGTTGATTCCGTCAGGTTTGGGTAAGACCTAGAGGTTTGAACAAAAACGAGAAAGTTTTTATACAACACTGCCACAAACATTTCTGTGACGATTGCACAATAACGGTTGTAACGAAGTGTCGTAAAAAACGAAAACTCTACCAATACGAAAGTTTCATGAATTTTGTCATGCATAACAGTGTACTATACTATGCTATGCTATACTATGCTATACTATGCTATACTATGCTATACTATGCTATACTATGCTATATTATATTATATTATATTATATTATATTATATTATATTATATTATATTATATTATATTATATTATATTATATTATATTATATTATATTATATTATATTATATTATATTATATTATATTATATTATATTATATTATATTATATTATATTATATTATATCATGTCATGTCATGTTATGTTATATTATATTATATTATATTATATTATACTACACTTCACTACACTATAGTATTCGATACTATACTACACTATACTATACTACACTATACTATTCTATACTATACTATACTATACTATGCTATATACTATACCATACTATACTATACTATACTATAGTATGCTATGCTATGTTATGCTATACTATTCTAAGTGCATCGTTGACGTAAGGTAATATAAACATGCCAAGGAAAACACCATAAAATCTTACTGCGGAACAATATCACACTGAGCGAAATATATTTCACGATGATAAAAAAAATCCCAAACATCTAAGAAGTATACATCTTCTTCCCACCTCTATATGGAACTTGTGTTTGATTTTCTCCTTGGGATCGTAGCCGTTCTCCTTCAGTTCAAACGTGATCTTGATGCAGCACTTCGGCCCGATGACGCCCATGTTCGGGTCGCTATAGCAACGGCCGGGCGCGCACGACTTGACGATAAAGCACACGTGGTGGTCGGAGGGGTTACACACGCGAACAACCTGGAAATACACAATTGTCATCTGATTAATTGAGCTATTCAGTTTCAAGTCCTTTTAACACCATATGGTGCATACCGAGGTAGTCATTTCCATTTCTGTAGGTCCTGTTGCATTCTAAAATATGTTTGGGAAAGGACCACGTTTTTAGATACAACGGACTTTACACTTTGTTGCATGGACCACAATTTGGACTGTTTCATATAAAGTGGCCGACCACGCTATGTCAAGCAGCATCAAGAGTCTTGTGTACACTCGGTGATCGGGGACACCGTCTTGAGCCCATCAAGTAAGTGTGTGCGTATGCATATGCGTGTGTTTACATGTAGATAAGGGTTTGGGCATGTTTTGGAATAGATGACGTTTTAGAATACAATACGAATCATGTTTTATTTTAGAAACACATTGCTGGATTTGTCACAAACTCTACTGTAGAATTTTGGTTCTCGCTTGTCCGTCTCTGAATGGTACATTTGACCGATGCGGTTTCACGGTGTGTATTATCTACACTACTGACTGATGCGACTGCACGGTACGTATTATCTATACTACTGACTGATGCGACTGCATATATGTATATTATCTACACTATACCCGCATCAGTCACCTCTTTGAACTGGATTCCAGAAGCCATGAGATCAAACACACACGACGCATTGAAAACACGGCTCGGCTTTTCAAAACGATCTGACGACCTCTAGAATCTGCTGCAGGGGTTTAACCTGTTTAACCCCAGCCCAGGTGTAGTAAATTACCCCGTAATAAGGTCATGCCATGGCTATCTGTACACATAAAATAGTAGATCACATCTTGTAATTTTTAACAGCAAAAGGAGATACAGTTTGCGACAACGAGATTGACTGCTGCCCGCTATTTACTTATCACAAAAGTTGAAGTAAAAGTCTTCTTGAGGCCGTACTGGCAGTGGGTTGTTTATGTACTGTGCGTAGGGGGCACAGTATTGAAGGTGGAGCCCATCCCTCTCCTTCAAACGCCTTTTACCTCCCCAACCGCAGTCAGGTACCCATTGTACACATGGACGAAGTGGGGAAAGGCATGTAAATTGAATTTTTAAAGGACACGATGCCTTGCCAGGAATGCCAGGAATCGAACTCGAAATCGAATCTTGTAGCCTCACCACTTGGCAATGATCCCAGTGTTAACGTTTGTTATCATTTGTCTAACTTGGGAGGCTTGAAAAATTCTCTTTAGTATTGAACACTTGTTTTGTCGTGATCAGTGAAGGGATAATGAGTCATATATTTATAAGCGCTCTGTTTATAGACAAAGTTTATTGCAAATACATACCCGATGGCTAATTAGTAATGGCTAAGTACAAACGACTTATAGGAAAAAATACAAAGATATAATTATAAGAGACTACGTCCAATGTCATACTACATTCTACAACATACGGGGTACATTGTTGGGTTGACTTCTTGTTTTGACTTCTTTTTTGTATTATTCATTCCTATCGCAATGTACAAATGTAGTTGGCATCGTACTCCGCTTACTGCGTGTGTACAGTATCATTATCATTTAGTATTGCACAATGATGGTAACCAATGCACAAATTTTAATCCCAAACACAAGACGGATCGCCCATTAACCAGTTACACGAAATAATAGACAGGCTTTCCTCAGAGGTGTGTCGTCCAATTAACCTACATCCGGGGTAACGGCGTGTCCATGGCAACGGACCATTGATCAGGATATTGGGGAGCAAGAATGGACAGTAGTACATGGGAAATTAGCTATGATGAAAATTGAATTAGAAAGATCATACTACCATCACACGTTTGAGGTAGTTGTCTATATATAACGTTATTCATACCCCATCTTTCATTTTTTTCGAGTGCCATATGTGTAATGTTTAAATGTATCGTGGAAAAAGTTGCAACATGTTATACTGCCATTCAAAAAATCCCGTCTAGTACCTGAAGTCTACTCTTAAAAGATTTATTTTCTTCTCTTTCACCGCAAAAGCTCTAAAGCCGAAGTAAGATTCAAATATGTTGCCAGTCGAATCACAATCAGAGACCTCAGTGACTTCAGGTCAGCATACTAAGCACAAGCATCGCTCAGTGTGGATAAACTCTGTTTGAGTTCGCCTTTTTATTCACCACACTCATCGCGATTTCAATACATCAAAAGCTCCGGTCGCCACCCCTGTATACATCAGTGTCAAACAAGAGAATTGATCTTCAACACATAAAATCAAATGGCTCCCATGTGGAGAGGCTTTGGTAGCCCCGATCATTATGCAGTGGAGAATTCTTCTGTAGCAAGCCGAGACGTAAGGATTGAAGCAGCTGGTTTCTGTAGGTCAGAACGTTTGGGACATCTACGGCATGGGGATAACTCATAAGACGTGCTTGAAGTGAAAATGACTGTTTATACTACTACTGGGTTCCCACAAGTTCATGAATCATACGTTGACTTGAATAGAACATGACTGTATGTATGTCAGGGAGGAGATGGTAATCTGGCACAATCGGCGATTCTGCCGGTAGAGTCGGTAAATTTAAAGATGTTGGCTTGAAAGACAGAACTTTTCAATGATTCATAGCACGGTATGGATTGACTTGAAATTCAGGATTTATGAATGGGAGACCCCCAACTCATTCTCAGCATCCTGATGGAGATAGAATCCAATAGGGATCGCTACCGGCTAGTAGAATTGTCGATATCTACTTTTTAAAATTCATTTTGTGATCCTCTTTACAGGTATAAATGCTTTGGTTATCTTGAAGTTCAAACATCGCAGATAGCTCTTGCCTCTTGAATACCAACTATATCACAGCATGGCTTACATTTGCATATGTTTTGCTAGCTGAATGCGCATGCAGTAAACTATATCCCCTAACCGTAACATGTCTTTACGGCTATGGTACATAATACAAGATGTATATGACCTTATTCCACTGGCAATGCTTCAAACGATACCCTCCCTCTCTACCAGCCCATAATGTTTAAATGAAGTGGTCCTTAGAGAGGCATCAGGCTTCAAATATCTTTTCTTGATGTCCGATTACTGACTGTAGATCGACCCAGGAAGATCCATAAAACATTAAGGAAAGCCATGAACATAGAATTGGTCGGACCATGAGCGTAAATTAAACATGGAGACGAGATTGTGGGTACAGTGTTTTTTTTCGTGCCGTGAATTTATTCTGAACGAGACTGATGTAGACTTTCAACCAGGGTCTGGAGACGATGGCATACAAAAGTGTATGATGCCAGAAAGAAAACAATTACTATGCGTGATATTAATTATCAGTAATACCATCAAATAGGACAAAATGACAGACCAAAACGTAATGAATAAAGTAGATTAATTTAGAGGGTCAGGTAGCAAATTGAAGAAATAAGCATATATAGAGGTACCTGCGCAAAACAGTAAAGATTCATTTGCTGACAATAAAAATGTATTTGTCTTTCTCAACCGAGAAGTGTGAATAATCTATACCTTACATGGTGCTCTGGAGTAGCAAATCGATATGTATAATCATAAAACGTAGCAATAAAATAGAAAGACATGTGTACATTATGACCATACATTATTAGCTAGGTACAATTTTAATCGATTTCATGGTCATGCAATTATTCGTTTGTAATAAAACATGCCTTTGTTACAAGTACAATAAATGTCAATTATAAATACAGGTCATATATCACTCCCTCTCTAGCTCTTGCAGTCGATAGATTTTTCATTGATATTGTTGGCATCGATATTTTCATGCTAAGAGGTCGTATACGGATCATAACACTGGATTCTAATTTTGATTAGAAATCAGAAATGTTGTTTTTAATTTTGATGCCAATTTACCGGGCACTTTTGATTTAACTCACGTAACTAATTTGTTCTGCTCTATTTCATGAATAATAAAATCCAGACGCCGTCAAATAGAATGATCATCAAGGTGGAACAGCCGTTGATTAAAGTTTTAAGGAGCCCCAACTGACTTAGTGAGGCTCAATGTACATATTTTAGTGCAATTTGTCAACCATTGCGTTTCTTTATTGTGGCAATGGCTGTAGACAATTAACTAGACTAGAAAGGTAACATTTGCAAAGAAAATACATAATGTTTACCTTCGCATATGGTCTGCTCTGTTAATTCTTACTCAAACACACACACATAAACAAACAAACAAACACATTCATGTATATGGTCAGACATGAGTCAAAATCCCTACTGCTAAAAAATTGCAACACGATTGATGTAACCCAACACCAGTTACCATGGTAACACACAATCATTGAGGTCATTGTTTGGAGAAGAAGAGGAAACGTAGCAAAAACAATATGTTTTCCTTCGGTAAAAATAACCAGATCATATATGCTTGCTTACAATTTTTATTTGTAAAAAGTCTTGAAATTCTAAATTGGTCTCATTAAGTAAGTCTATAGTTAAAAACGTTGGTACGAGTACAATCTTGTTCCAGACGTGATTTTGACATTATATCATTGACAGAAACGCAGTTATCGAGTTAAAGCAAAGAAACAAATCACCGGTCATAACTGTGATGTGTGTTGCTGATTCGATTGGCACCGGTGTAATAGCATATTGATCCTTCTTATCTCTGGTCCAGAAACGTTACCGCTGATCTAACGTCTGGAGATGTCGTTAGGGAGAAAGGACGTCTGGTGAAGTTACGGTACAGGAGATGGGTTGGAGTTGGACGGGCAGGGGAAAGGAGCAATAATTTTAAGGCTCAGAATGGTATCAGATACAAAAACCACTGCATGGACTATGAAGACAGTTTTAGTGCGTTTTACGGAAGACTAGATATTAGAAACTGCACGTCCACATTAGCATAAAAATACATTTACAGACACTCAAAGCGATTTCAGGTCAGTAAAACTGGATTTTCAAAGTCAATTTTCTGTTTTGTTTTAATGTAGTAAGTTGAATCAACCCTATCCCATGGCACACATATGTCTGTGAGGTTAAAAAATATGGGTTGTCACTGTTGGAAAATGGTTGCTTGTTTCGTATC